AACTAAGCCGGTACCGGCTTAGTTCGCCGATGGGCGAACTAAAAACTTCTCAGACATCCCTTGCCTCGATTTCCCACATCCCCGATTCAAAACTTAAGTCTTTCGACACGATCGCATTTTAAACTACGGCTAAAACGTCTTTCGTTCCGTCTCGATCCGACTTACCGTTCGAGTTTTACGATAAAAACCGTAAAACTTCTTTCTCTCGGAAAGAACTCGAGGAAATCGTATAAAACGGCAACGGTTAAATGAAACACCGAACATTGCCTAAACGATACGATTTATTCGAGATTTCTCGTTAAAATCGTAAAAACGCGCTTTTAATAAAAAACGCCGAGTAATTCGTAAAAAGCGCTTTTTAGTAAAAAGTCGAGTAAACCGTAAAAATTCACGATTAACTCGAGTAATTTATTAAAAACGACGTCAGATCAGGAAACGATCCCGTATAAAGTCGGAAAACGGTTTTTATCGCAAAACGGCCCGGAAGGACCTAAAACGTGATAAAAACCCATCTCGCGATTTCAATGGAATCTAACCCGAAGATTTGATAACGTTTTGACGGTTTACTCGCAGAAGGAGAATAAAGGCAAGTTTGAAGATAAATAGAAGATCTCCGCAGAAGAAAAGGAAGGATCGAGAAAAATGGAAGATTCTCGAAATGCTCAAATCCGGCAAAATGGAAAGATCGAACCGTCAAGGAAAGGAGTATATAAACCAGAGGCGTAGGGCAGAAGAGGGGGACGAAAATCAGACCTAGAAGAGGCGGCTGCTAGCTTAGAATTTAGGACTTAGCGTTTAGACTAGCAATTCAGATCTTTAGAACGTTTTAACGTCTAAGTTCTTCAATTCTACTTGTAACAGTTGTCGATTCTTATTCAATAAAAGCTTTCTTACAATTTCTTGTCTCTTTATTCTTTGTTGTTCATCCATATTCCTTTAAATCCGTTTGTTTTAGTCATTTCCGCAGAGATCCAGGACCTCGGGAAAATTAGGGTTTCGCCCTAAGTTTCCATATTTGACGGAAAATCGACAGTGTGGATTTCGTTTCCCACAGTTTGGCGCTAGAAGGAGGGGGGTCGGATTCTCTTACACAATAGTCGCTAAAACAAACGAGAAATAACATGCCTAATCTGAACGGCGACGTCATCTCGTTCGAGAAAAGAGCAACGATCGATTCGATCAAACCTCTCAACGATCTTCTTGTTATTGAGCTGACGATCCAGAATATGGATGTCGCGAGAATATTAGTCGATACCGGAAGCTCGGCTGATATCATCTTCAAAAACACTCTCGAGAGGATGAAAATCGATCTATCTGAAATCGCGGAAAACATAAGCCCGCTAGTAGGACTCTCGGGAGAAATCACTATGACCCTCGGAACGATCAACCTGGCAGTTCGTGCCGGGAGCATACTGAAAAACGTCGAGTTCGAAGTCGTCGATCGACCCATGTCCTATAACGCAATCGTAGGGACACCGTGGTTGAATTCGATGCAAGCGATTCCGTCGACGTACCATATGTGTCTCAAGTTCCCGACTCCGAACGGAATTGAGACTATATGGGGAAATAGATGAGCCTCGCAGGTTTGCTACGCCGCGGATTTAAAACGAAAAAATCTGCCGGTCGATATCTCTTCCAAAAAGAAAAAGAAGTTGACGTCCCTCGACAACGCCCCAGAGCAAGATAAAACGGAACTCTTCTGGCAGTTGTGAGCGGCCGAGGCTTTGGAAGGGAAACGCGAGGCAACCTGCGAACCCGTCATCTCGGTATGCATCGACGAGAACTCTCCAGAACGCTGTGTCGAAATCGGTGCAAACCTGAGCGAAACCTTAAAAATCGAACTCCTGACATGCCTAAAGCGAAACTCGAACGTTCGCTTGGACTGCGGAAGACATGCCAGGGATCGACATAAACATCACATGTCACGAACTCAACGTTGACCCGACATCCAAACCCGTCAAACAAAAAAGACGGAAACTGGGGCCGGAACGCGCCGAAGCGGTCAACAGCGAAGTCGACAGACTCCTTAAAGTAGGATCGATCACAGAAGTTTGATATCCTGACTGGCTCGCCAATCCCGTTGTCGTAAAGAAAAAGAACGGAAAGTGGCGAGTCTGCGTCGATTTCAC